CTTCTCTAATGTCTATGACTATGGAGAGGGGATGGAGCACTGAAGATCCTGGCTTATTACAGAAGAAGACAACAGCAACCAGCTGGGTTACACCCGTCCCCACCCTAAAGCATGAGGGAAAGCCTACAGATATAGGAGACTTCAGACCAATTGGGTATAGCATCTCTAATGGTTAATGCATCAGGCCTATAATGGCCTTTAATGGTTATGCCAGGTAACGCCTATAGACTTAAGACATTCCTCACTGCGAAATGAATAAATAGAAAGAACTTTCCCTAATGTACCTTTACACTGCTTTACTGAATGGGTGCAACACCTTTAACAGCCAAAGTGTATAATCTCAAGGCCAAGAGTATCAATCAAGAGTTTTTGTTGGCGTTTTATATTCCGTTCCCCATTATAAGAGCAGATCTGGAGCCACAGCTCCCAACCTATATGAGGATTATACAATCTGCACCAAACAGTACACACACGCCAAGGGTTGGTTTTCCGATCATGCCTATGGCCATTCTAATGAAGCAAAACGAATCACACAAAGTAGCAAGCAGGGTTAGTCATTTCATAGGGCAGCTGAGGATTGTACGCACAGTGAAACAGATTGACATGGGCAAGTCCTCTGGGCACAGTCAGATGCTCAGCCAGCAAAACAGTAGATGCTAAATTAGTTCTCTCACCTCTATTCCAAATGGGCACCTGTCATTCAAGGCCTAAAAGGTCAAGTCGGGGTGGCCAGTTCGGTCCCATAGTAAAAAAAAAAAAAAAATACACAAATTCCCTTATCTCATCAAACACAGGGCATGAATGTCCAACTATTCCTTCCAAAGAGATCAGTTCAGTGAAAGGATTTTCCTTTTTTTCTAACAAAAGAGAAAACGAACACTGAGCACCTCCAGAAATGTTTCAGCATGCCGGCCACTACATCCTTTATAACGTTTTGAATGCTTTGGAGGTATATTTAGAAAGCAGTGAATGTGACTTTCACCAACTGTTCAATCATTTATCACTTAAACACATGCACGAGGAAGATTTACCTGCAGTGAATGTTTGGTGATTCACGGCTTTATAAATAAAGTGTTGGAGGCCGAGTACCCAGAGAAGCCGAGAGCTCAACTCTAACCTAAAAACCAATTCTCATTCCAAATGCAATTTTAATCATTTTACAACCGAGTACAGATTTCGCTTCTGGTGAGCGGTTCTACTGATTTTCAGAACGAATTAGGATTTTTACCAATTGTTTCCTAGATGGAATATCCAAAAGTGATTTGCTAATTTTAGTGATTTTATCTGTGGCCCAACTCAGCCCTTGGGATCTTCTACGTCTTAGATGTTCCAACAACGCAATGTTTCTGCCACTGTCCATCTGGGAGTTTGGAGTGTTCCACCATCTGTACAGACCCAGGTAAGGGATGATGGGAACCTAATATAATGGGACAGTAGGTGTATGGACCTGGGAACTCAGCAAAGGGATGGTGAGAGCCGCTCATAATGGGCACAGCAGGTGTACAGACCCAGAAACTCAGCACAGGGATAGTGGAAACCCACCTTCATAATGGATACAGCAGCTGTACACACCCAGGAACTCAGCACAGGGATGGTAGGAACCCCCCAAAGGGCACAGCAGGTGTATGGACCCAAGAAAGTAGCACATGGATGGTGGGAACCCCACTTAATGGGCACAGCTGGTGTGCAGAAACAACAACTTGGCACAGGGATTGTGGGAACCCTCCATATTGGGCACAGCTGGTATGCAGACTAGAGAACTCAGCGCAGAGATCTCACTTAGGCCAAGTTCAAATGGGCAGCAAAGGGGTGGTATAAACAGGCGGTTGATCCGCCACCCCCTGACCGACAAACTGAACACATTGCCGTGGCTGCAATGTGGCAACTTTAACTTGGCATCTCACATTTAGCAGGTGGTGCCACTTGCCAAATGCACCCATTGAAGAAGTCAGCGGGACCATGCTGTAACTGCTTGCCAACCATGTGGTTGTAGCGTAGTATCCACTTGGGATGGGGAAAAAACAGGCATTCAGAAGACGGCAATATTTCCTACATTAACGCCTGCAAACTGCTGCTCAACTTCGGAGGGGTGGCAAACTCTTCCACCAGTGGGACCCAACAGAGTCTCCAAGAGACAACAGAAACTCAAAGTAGCAAAACACAAACATCAATCCCCGGTGGACTGAAGCTTGGAATTTCCTTTTGAGTGGCACAAATTTTCTTTTTTCATATCAGGGCCTTCATTTCATTGGGCTTGTTCTTTCTTAACTCAAACAGAAGCCAACTGCTAAGTGTGACACAAATCTGTTATGTTTCCTCCAAACAACCCTACAGCGTACGACATTACTACAACAAGGGACCCCTGTACAATGTCTGTGACAATGACTTATGCTTGGCTCTGATCATGACAATCCTGCAATCACCGACACATCTCTAAACCCAAAATCTGAGGCTAATTAGCTCAGCATTTCAGGCGAAGGAAATTGATGGCTTGCTGCTAACTCCACGCACAACATTTCACAGTTAGCAATGTTTCAACATCGTTGTCAGGAAAACATTGATGCAGAGATGTTATATAAACCTACCCAAAAAGCGGCCACCCTTCTTGACAGATACTTAACTGTGCGTGCAAAGATCTGATCAAAGCACGATCGTTGGATGAGAGGTTGATTGGAGTAGTTGAGCATTTTAATTTGTTCCTCATCAGACTAGAAATATCTACAGGGAACGTCCAATCGCTCAGTACAATCCGTTGGCTTGGGGAGAACAAGGCAAGACAATTTTTATAGCCTCTTTTGAGGGTTTCTCTCAAAACTAACAATAGAGATGAGCAAAGGTCACCATTCTCCGAAACAGTGAAAGTCTAATGGGAAATGAAAGAGGACCTGTCATGCCATCACAGGTATTTAACTAATACAAGCCCATAAGAGCAGGCAGCAACAAGGCTCCTAGCAAAGCTTTTTCTGTAAGCTTCAGGCAGCCCATGAACCTGGAACACCATGCATGCAGCACCTGACTCTAGCTTCAAGTCACAGCTATGACTCAGTCTTTGACACTTCAAATGCAATTCCAATAGGGGTTCCTATTGGTTGCTGAGGTGTCTGCATTGAATTATGGGATTGGAAGCATGTGTCTGGGTTTGGGGGTTCCCTCAGGGACACGCAAGTAGGTTTGTTAAATGTACACACCTTGCATTAAGGTAAGGCATGCATTAAATACGTTTATAGAGACACCAGCTTCCTTTAATGTGTGATCATTTCTGTCTGCGGTCAGGCACCTTAAACTTGTCACTCTCCATACTTTCTCTCTTATGTACACAACTATAAAATGTTTATTAACTCATACTACAAATACTTCTCTGCATTTCAAACGTCATCAGATTAGCATTCGTAGCACAGTGCTGTAGCAGGCTGCTCTCTTGCCTTGCTGCACTGGTGTCCTGTCCTCAGTCTTTGCTATCTGACTGCAAGGGGTCTGCATGCTCTTCCTATATTTCCGTACACCAACCCCCTCTTTCTTCTGCAACCCCACAATGTACCATCGGATCAATCAGCTTTCGAGTGTGTATAGAGATAGAGATAGAGATAGAGATAGAACAGTGTAAAAATATAACATTTTTTTGGGGGGGGTAAAAGCTGATCCAATGGTGCAATTTTGGGGCTGCAAAATGAGGGGGTTGATGTATGGAAGCATTGAAATAGCATATAATTTCCTTGTAGGTTATGTTGCATTTATATATATTTTTTGGGTGAAAGCTGGTTAATCCAATAGTATATTTTGGGGTTCTTTAGAGATGGGGTGGATGTGCAGAAACATGGAAAGAGCATATATTTCCTTGCAGCTTGTGTTACTTTTTTTAATATCGTTTTAATCAAAAGCCGATTGATCCGATGGTACATTTTGGGGTTGCTGAAAGGAAATCAACCTGTACAGTGCTGTAGCAGTCTCCTCTCTAACATGGCTGCACTGGTGTCCCGGGTTCAATCTCCAGTGCCTGCAAGAAGTCTGCATGCTCTTCCTATGTTCCCGTACATCAACCCCCTCTTTCCGCAACCCCATAACGCACCATTGGATCAATCAGCTTTCATCCAAAAGATACATTAAAAAAAGTAACACAAGCTGCAAGGAAAGCATATGCTCTTTCCATGTTGCTGAATGTCCACCCACATCTCCCCAGGACCCCAAAATGTACCATTGGATCAATCAGCTTTCACCCAAATGATATAGAAAGTAACCACTTGCAAGTAAATCATATGCTCTTTCCATGTTTCCGTATGTGCACCCCATCTCCCCAGGACCCCAAAAGCTACCATTGGATCAACCACATTTCACTCCAAAAATATATTTTAAAAAGTAACCCAACCTGCAAGCACATAATATGCTCTTTCCATGCTTCCGTACAACTACATGCTCTTCCAATCAGTCCCCTCTTCCCACAAGCCAAAAACGTACCATTGGATCGATCACCTTTCACCCAAAAGATATAAAAAAGTAACACAAGCTACAAGGAAATGATATGACCTTTCCATGTTTCCGTACATCTGCCCCACCTCCCCCAGAACCCCAAAACATACCATTGTATCAATAAGCTTTCACCCAAAAGATATAAAAAAGGAACACAACCTGCAAAAGAATTTTCATAGGTCCATCCCATCTTCCCAGAACCCCAAAAATGTACCATTGGCTAAGTCAGCTTTCACCCTAAAATGATATGTCATCCATATGGCTGCAGAAGAGTTTAGGTTGTAGACTCTTTCCCAGCCAGAGAGAAGTTTAAATGGTTTCTGTACTATGTAAATGAATACAAAAAGAACATCAATTCTATATAAAACCAGATTTAATAGTCCAGCCGGACTAAGGACCGGAACATTTCGAAGGGGTAAATCTTCAGTCCCCGGGGGCCGGCTGGTAAGTATTTGGCTTTTTACAGTACGGCAGACAAAACACAGGGTTACAACATGCAGTCACTTCAAAATTCCATTCCACAGATGCTCACTTACTTTAACGCAGGCTAGAACCCGCACAGGCTGCATATCACCGGGTGGCTGATATCCTTTCCAGAAACCAGGAAAATAAAAAAAAGGGAGAAATTTCATCCAGAGTTAGAAAGTTTAAAGACTCCTCCAGTGTGACAGTCCCAGCAGCAGAGCAGTATGTCCCTGCTGCCTGTCTTCAGCAGTATGAACACTGGCACAATCCCTGCATGGAATCACTCCTCCCTACTCCTATGTCCCCCCCCCTGCTTCAGTGTCACTCCCCTCTCCTCCCTCCCAATACTCACAGCTCTGGAATGAAAGCATGCCTCAATTTTTTTCCCCTGCCTTTTTTTTTTCTTATTTTCAAAATGCTTTATTGAGGACCAACAGCCGGAACAGGGAGGGAAAAAAAAGAAAGTCCTGAAGAGTACTTTTAAAAAATAACAATGTATCGGAGAAGCAACAACAATGTAACAACTTGCTTTTGTTTATTTTTCTTTCTGTTTTGTGTTTTACTACAAATAGGAAATACAATTTCCAACGTTTGCAAAATAAAAAAACAATAAATAAATAAACTCTCATCTCTTCATAAAAGGAAAAATGAACATTTATTATTTTTTTGTATTTGCGAGCAGTAGACCGCGGGCGCAATGCTCTGGCTCCTGCAGACTGTTCCCCATGTCTGTACTGAGGAAATGGGGAAGTTCACCGCGCTTGTACTCCATTGAGGGCCGGTGCTCCATTGAGGGCTTGTACTCCATTGAGGGCCGGTGCTCCATTGAGGGCTTGTACTCCATTGAGGGTCGGTGCACACCTGGGCGACTCCTCAAGTTTTGCCCAGCACAGACGGTCGCGCTGTGGGTGCCATTATTTTCGAATGGTACCCCAGTCGCACCGAGCGGTGTTCCGCTGCGATTCCGCCCGTGCTTTCGAACGCTAAAACAGCAGCGCGTCGTGTATCGCAAAAAAAAGGTACATGTACGCAGATGCAGATGTCACCCCATTAAAATCAATGGGGCAGCGTGGAAATCGCTGTCTGCATTGTGCAGGACCGCGTGATCCCGGGACGCACAATCCCGGATCGCTCAGGTCTGCACCGGGTCTTAGGCTAGGTTCACACCTAGGCAACCTGTCGCGCGATATCGCACACAACAGCGATTTGCATTCAAGTCTATGGAAGCTGTTCACACCTTTGCGATTTGTCGCGCGGTAGAAAACGCCTGTCGCACGAAAAGGTGCAGGAGCTACTTTCGGCCGGCTGTCGCGCAGTTTGGGTCCCATAGACATTTCTATGCATTAAAATCGTGCGACAACGGCGCGGTTCTCAAAGCAAAATCACGCAAACAAAAACGCACGATAACAGCTCAATGGTGTGAGCCCAGCCTGAAGTCCCTCTGCTGCGGTGGCTGATGGGACTTGTAATTTCTCTAACAGATCCTGTCTAGGGGTCTGTGAATGGGTGACGCCGCTTGTGTGGGGGCGGAGCCACATATAGATGGGCTGATTTTAAGAAATTGCAGCAGCCTGCAGTGAGAAAAACCCCCTCGATTCAGGTAAGGGGGAGTCTGCAATATGACCATGCTTTACATACTGAACATTCACCTCAGTCCCTGCCCTCAAGGAGCTTGCACTCTAGGGACCCTATTGCACACACATCGAGGGCCAAATAACCTTTTAGCACCTCTCTGGGAGGAAACCAGAGTAAACATTCAAACTCCATGCAGAGAGCATCCAGGCCAGGATTGAAACCAGGGACCCAGCCTCTTCTACCCCGGGCTCCGGTGATCTAAGGACCGCAGACATCATCATGTCTGCAGCAGGTGATCTAAGGACCGCAGACATCATCATGTCTGCAGCAGGTCCATTGACCTACCTTGACGTGGTCTACCTTGGTCTAAAGATCCCGGAGTCATCACGTTCTATACAAGTGTATAGGATGTGAGGATGCTGAGGGACATACCATCGCTGCAGTGGGGGAGAAGAGAGGGTTCGGGGACCAGAGTAGCAGCCAGACGGCACCGTTGTTTGGTTGAGTATAACTTTTTTTAATGGCACTTAGACAAAAATGAACCAGTTAACCCTTGCAGTGCAGGGGTAGCCCCTCTTCAAGGGTTAAGAAAATGTTTGCCCGGAGTTCTGCTTTAGGTCCTGCATTGTGGCGGGCTGGCACCTCATTTGAAATAAATGGGCCATCTTACATCCATGCATGTTGTTCCAATAAACAAACACTTTGGACTTCAATATTATTGGTGTGCTGGTGACATCCGTTCATCTTACATCCAAGCGCACACACGTCTCAATCAAAAGACGGGGTGACAACACAGGAGCACCACTGGGAGACAGAAACAGAGCATTGTCACCCTGTAACAGGAAGTACCTAAACAAGCGCTCTCACCGCAGGATCGCCAAGTATTATTTTAATGAAATCTACAAATATAAATTAAAAATAATAATACAATTACTTTTGAAATGACAAAAACTTGTTACATTTATAACATTTTATACATTTTTTATGTAACTAATACATTTCTTTATATGAGATTTCCTTAAAATGCTCAATTATTTTCAGCCTGTAGAACTTCACAGCTACGCAGAGCCAAACGTGAGCCAAAAAAACGACAACACCAAATAAATATTATTAAATAATGTTGCAATCTTTTTTTTTCAAACCCAACAGATCAATATTCTATTGTATTGGGAAATAAAGAATACCGAGCGTATCATTTTGATGACAGTATGTGACAGAGGAATTCGGCTGTGAGTTTCTGACAGGGGGCAACCCCCCCCCTTGCTGATAGAAAGCCCTCCATAATTCTTTGCATGCCTGCAATTCTTCATGGCTCACAGGGGAGGGGATGTGACCCTCTACTCTATAGGCCGAGCTCCCCCCTCCGGTCCTGGTCTAGCCTAAGGACTATTTCTTTTTTTTTTTTATCCATGGGACAAATTGAGATCCTTGGCTTCCAGGGATAATGCACTCACCATGTGATTCTCTGCCTGCGTCTGGCATTCCTATCAGGACGCATGTTTATTTACTGTGTTTATTTAAAGGATGAACCAAACATGTGACAGGCATAGATAGACAAGGCAAAAAAATCATTTCACCAGAGAATAAACCGTACCGCCACCACTCCTCACATGTGAATAGAAAGATGTGTGTGCGGCAACATGTTTTATTGTGTCAACTGAATAGATAACGAATTCCAGCACGCCGGGGTCACATCCCAAAATTTGGCGAAACCCACAGAGGTTCCTATTATTAAAGTATGAGTGAGCAAAACAATCGTCTCCGGAGTCAAAAGTAGATTATTAATGATATCACAAATAGGACAGAAATATTAGCAATTCACATTTCATTTTAAGGGCTACATCAAATGAGACAAATACACATATTTTATAAATAAAAAAATAAAAAAATAATAATATAGTAAATATAACATTTATTATTATTATTATTATTCTTATTATTATTATTATTATTATCATTTCATGTTTGATTTGTAGCCCTGATGAAAAGGTGGATCTGTAGCCCTCAAAACACATTGGCTGCCTATTGTTTTCCTGTCATATTTGTGATAATAATGATGATGATATTTAGCTCACTCATAATTTAATAAGAGGGACCTATGTGCAGTGGTGACACCATTTTAGGGGTGACACCAAAATGACTGACAGCCATTTTGGTGTCACCCCCTATAAAAAGTCGGGCACTCGGTCGTGGACTTGGGTGACCCCTTTGTCTTGGGGGGGGGGGGGTCCCCCTTTGTGAAGTCTCATTATGTGCTTTGTAAAGAGCAGCCAAAGGCAAGCTATTAGGCTCTACCAGTGACTTCCATTGACGGGTAAAGATTTACATCCGCACCACCATCTCCTCTTATTAAAGAGAAAGCCTTGGTGACAACCATTAAAAAAATGCCACCTTGATAAAGGGGACTCCGCATCTGGTAAGGGACTTTTGTAATAACTTTTGGATGGGACCCTGGCGTGCTGACTTTCTGTATCTAATAAACAGGCGCAGGAGAGGGAGGCTGCTGTGCACATTTTTTTTTCTGTCTGTGTACCAGCGGGGAGATTTCTCCTTCCCTTCCTGTCTAAGAGACACAACAGGAAATCACACGGAAGAGAGGACAGTTGTCACTGGACCATTTATACACATGGAAAAAATGTTCCTAACCTTTTGCTCTGGCGACAGCTCTAAAATTGTGAATTTTCCTCCTCTTCTAGGCAACCTTGGCACTGCAGCTGTTGTGGAGTTACAAGTCCCATCAGGCATTGCAAGACTGACAGCCACAGGCATGACTCTCAGGGGCAGAGACATGACAGGATTTGTAGTTTGAGCACAGCTGGAGTGCCAAAGTTGCCTACCCCTGGTCAGGCTAGAAAAACTCAGCAAAGTGAAAGCAATTCAAAAGGAGGAAAGAAGGTGAAATATGTTTATAAGGAAGTATAGAAACAGCGTCAGGAAATGCGCACGCCGGGCAGATTTATACTGCTCACAGATACTGAGCGCGGCACGGCTGGGCTTTGGGAAATCGATTGTGTTGCTGCCTCGTGGGTTGGCATGAACGGAGGAACAAAGTCGCCTCTCTGTTAGATCAAAACCCGAACGAGCAAGAGTTCTGCTGGTGTTAATGAGTCCTTTGATGCCGAGCCCGGCGACGGCCCTGCTCGCTGACTCGAGTATAAGCCGAGGGGGGCACTTTTCAGCCCAAAAAATGGGCTGAAAATCTCGGCTTATACTCGAGTATATACGGTACAACCACGGCCAGGCTATGGAATTCTAATACTTACATATTTTTACCAAGCTGAAAATTACCGTATTTTTCCGTCTATAAGACGCCCCCATGCATAGGACGCCCCCCACTTTTCTTACCCAAAATTCAGAAATCAATCTTTTTTATGCTCTTTTGCACAACTGATTACATACAGTTTAAATTTTGCAGAGTAAGACAGCCGCTTCCTGGTATTGGTATTTACCAGGATTTGTTTTTGTTTTCTAACATTTTATGGGCTCAGAATGCTTCGACATTACCGCTCCCTGTTGCATCTGGGTACTGGCTACAGGCTCTCCGCAGCATCAGCTGACGTCAGGTACATAAGGCTCATGATTGGAGGAAACCTGTTAGCTTGTCTCTGCAATCGGAAGTTTCACTCGTGAGGCTAGTTTGCAGAGGTATCGGCAGTTTTGCAACCGCGGTTCTCCT